TCGCCCGGGCAGCGGGGCCGGGCCGGGCCGGGGGGGAGAGCCACCAGCCTGGCTCCGCCCCAGAAATGCCGGGGCGGTCGGGAGGGACACTCACCTGTCAGCAGCCGGGGGAACATCCCCTGGGCTGGGGGACGCTGCTGGCCTCGCCTCCTGCATCCGCACAAGCAATTGCAGAGATGTGGAGCGACAGAGCTGCCTTAGGGGGAGATGTAAGGGGTCGAACCAAACCACAAGGCCAAGCTGGACTGTTAATGCACCACAGCCATGGAGCAGTAGAGCTGTAAGGGAGCTGCACACGTCATCTAGTCCGACCCCTGGCCAGAGGCAGGGTCATCCCTACCCAAACCACCATCCCTATCCCAACCACCATCACCTAAACTCTACATCAGACTGGGAGCAGCCCTGACACAACACACACTTAACCTGCCACACGTAAAGCAGGGGAACCGCAGCACCCCACATCCTGCTTGTATGAAACGTATCAAATGCTCATGAAGTCCTGTGTAGAGGCCAGGCAACACTACAGAGGAAGACTAAAACCCCCACAGTCCATACCAGTCTTATCAAGGGGTAACATTCCTTCTTGATCCCAAATATGCTCAGTCTCACCCTGAGCAAAGGGGCAAGACCCTCTAGCCAGGAACCTCCAGCTTTGGTCCCAGCAGGAGCACTGGCACAGTCCAGCCCAAGTCCCCAGCTTTAGCTGTAGCCAACACTCAGTGCCTCTTAAAAACACCCTGTAGGCTTAAATACACCCCAACACACAACATAAAAGGGCAGGGATGTGGGGGGGAGGCATCCCCCAACCAGTGGCAGTGGAGTCAGCAATTCTCAACCTGGCTGCCCCAAAAACTTTTGAAGGGTGCCTGGCCCCTGTGCTAGGAGGGAAGAGCCCTCCTCCCCACAACTGCCTGCAGTTCTGTGCAAAGGCATCTAAGGTGTGAATCCTGAACGGCCTCAGGTGGAAGGCAAATGCCGGCATGCTCAGCTGAGCCAAGACGGTCATCCTACTTGGTATTGTCATGAAAAAGCGGGCCTTGGGCAGTCTCGGTCTCATAAACGTCACGCAGGGATTCTGTGAGTCTCTGTTGCTACCTGAGGCACTGAATCCCTCTGTGAACCTCACCCTAAAGTGGACTGAGCTCTTCATTCAGCTTCTGTTTCAAGTGGGCCAACAGCAGCCATAGTACAAGTAATATACAGCTGGTAGTCTACAAAAACATAGGGTCATGTCTGACTAGGGCTTGGTGAACACAACAAGGAACTGTGAAGACGTTCACCAATCCTCCTGGCAACTTCACCCTCCTGCTGCCAGTAATAGCATTTTGTTTTTCTGAGTATTCAGACATACTGGCTTATTTATACAAATATTCACGAATCTTTACAAAAGATCTATTAAACATTTTGCATTGCTGCTCGTTTACTAGTCTGCAACTATTTCACAGACTGAAGCAAGCAACAGAAACAAGATTATGTTGTTTAAGTAACTGATTCTCAAAAATACAGCTCATGGGCAATTCATCAGCTGAAATTTGCAGTTACTAGTACTTAAAATAAACACTTCTACAGATGTTGAAATCAAAGTAAAGCACCTAACACATGGCTATTTAAGCAGGAAACAAAACTTTGTCCGAAGCACTGCAAAATGGCACCTGTTTAAAGTGCACCACTGCTCCATACATGCATGCAGTGTAGAGTGGGATGGGGACCCGTAGGTCCACTAGCAACTCATTCTACCCGCCTGCACATAAACGCAAGGAGGGAAGGGAGAAGAGCAGAGTGCAGACAGTTTCAGCTAGAGCTGGGTAACCTCCCCCCACTCCCTGCTGCCATCACTGGAGGCAGGTAAGCCCCTCCATTCCTCTGGCTACGACTACCCTCCCCCCACGTCCTCCTCAGTACCAGGAGCCGTAGCATGTAGAGGCTGGGTGTAGCCCCCAAACACTTGCTGCCAGAGAAAAAGCTGGAGCTGGGATTTTGGCTCTTCAGTCCCCAATCCCTGGCTACCTCTCTAATTCTAGAGGAAGGGGGTGCCACTATGGCATCCCAGTTCTGGCAGGGGAAGGAAGCTCCAGAAGATCTGCTGCCTGCAGCTACCTGTTGCACACCACAGCTAAAGAGCAATTTTGAAGCAGCGCAGCAGACTGCAGAGGCTGTACCCACCTCCTGTGCTGAAATAATAAAACACTTTTTTTTTTTTTTTATTTCAACTTCTGTCCTCACCCTGGCATAAGCATTACTGCTTCAAAACAAGGTTGTTTTTGTGTTACCAAGAAAGGAGTCCTCCCAGGGATTATGCTACTGAGTCTCAGACTTGTCTTTAGCAGCAAAAACAGTCATTAAGTGGGGAACATTTTAGTAGTTTTGAGTTCCTGGCAGGAAAAACAAATCTAACATCTAGAAAACAGAATATAAACAAAGCACAAAACAGCCACCTTGGGCCTTTAACATAAAAAGTACAAAACATTAACATAAACATAGGAACATCAAGGTTTACACTTTTTAAAACAAATCTTAAATTCTTTTTATCTAAAATAGATGCTTTTCAACATGTGAAGCAAGTCTTTTTCCAAGTATTAAAGTGTTCAAGTCTGACATTTAACAGTCCAGAATACAGCTGAAGCCCATGGAATAGAAAGCAAAGTTGGGAGTTCTCCATTTGGTTTCTTCCCACTGTTCTGTACCAGCATCATCATTAATGCTTCTGATGTAGTGATGTGGCCCATTGCTAAGATTGTTCCTGTGTTACCAAGAAAGGTGTCCTCCCAGGGAGGATACTGCTGGGCCTCAGACTTGTCTTTAGCAACAAAAACAGGCATGAAGTGGGGAACTTTTTAGTAGTTTTGAGTTTCTTGCAGGAGAAACAAATCTAACATATAGAAAACAGATAATAAACAAAGCACAAAACATCCACTTTGGCCATTCACCATAAAAAGTACAGAACATTAACATAAAAATAGGAACATCAAGGTTTACACACTAAAATATATATATATATATAACAAATCTTAAAAATTCTCTTAATCTAAAATAGGTGGTTTTCCACAACATGTGAAACAAGTCTTTTTCCAAATATTAAAAAGTGTTCAAGTCGGACATTTAACAGTCCAGAATACAGCTGAAGCCCATGGAACAGAAAGCAAAGTTGGGAGTTCTCTGTTTGGTTTCTTCCCACCTTTCTGCACCAGCATCATTATTAATGCTTCTGAAGTAGTGGCCCATTGCTAAAGACAAGAAATCACAAATTGAATAAAATGAAATTGTTTGATAAGAAAAAGGAAACAGTTCCCACAGATCCTCACCATCACCACAGAGCCTTGCTTCCTTAACTTTTCTATTGTTTCAGTGTCCAGAATAACGTTTCAGATATGAAAACTCTAGAAATTCTTGTGTGAGAGAATGAGCATATTTTGCATGTTTTTACAGATTAGCTCTGTTTGGTTATCATGGAAATGTATCAGTCCTGTTGTACTCTAACTATTAAAAGTTAACCTCTCCAAGCAGTGTGGCAGGGGTTTCTGAAGGTGATTTGGTACGCAGCCAAAGCAAGGAATTAAGATTGCCAATTTACAGTTCGCTTTCCTCTAAAACTAAGCAATGTTAAAGGTGACAGGGCTGTGCCAGTTGGAAATCCCTTGGCCACTCCAGTGCCCCCGAAACAGCAAGTCTAGATGGCCATGCAGCTACGAAATAATTTGCACAGAAGGTTGGGGAGGTTTCCTTTGGCACCTCTAAAGCAATAAATGGTGGATGTCAGGGAGGCCACTAAATAGAGGATAGATCACTCTAGGAGTATATCTGGTTAGTTCTCCCCCTGTATAGCATCCACTCCTGTCACTGCTAGGGATGGGATATTGGGCCAAACGGACCATTGGTATGACCCAGGATTGAGCTACTAATGTTCTTATCTAGATCAGCAGCACCCTTCACAAAAGCAAATGGCAGGCACCTGAACACCCCCAACACCCCCCTCTCCCTCCCCCGGACAGGAAAACAACTGAAGTCATTTGTTGTTCCAATTACAATAAATTGGAGGAGCCTCCCCAGGGAAAATGGCAAACCAAACTCAAGTTACACCTGTGCCTTACTTGAACAAGCTGTGCTCTGCTGACTGGGAAAGCTCAGGTGGATTTCTTGACACAGATCCAATGTCTCAAAGACATGCAGTCTCCAGGAACCGCAGCACACATATTTAGGTAAGCGCAGGTCATATTTTGCCCCCCCCTTTTCCAGGGAAATTCTAAAAAGAAAAAGCAAAAAATGGAGGTGGGGGGAATGGGAGGGGAGGGAAATGGTTTCTATTCTAGACTCAGTGCTTTAGTTAAGGAATAGGATTGCTAACAATATCTGTACACCTCCCATCAAAGTCAAGCAACATCATTTTATGTTTGGCAAAAGCCCTCAGATCACTGGAAAAACTTAAAATACATTTGCATATAGGCATTTCCTCAAGTGTGCTTTGGGAGTAGCTTTTTTATTTTCTTGGCTTTGATCAGAGAGATGTGCTTCTCCCCACCCCTCCAGGCAGCCACAACTAGAGTAACTCACGTGTCATTAATGAAAGGCGATCCATCTACACACTGCCATCCCTCTCTTTCCTTAGTCCTATCCAGCAGCTTTCTTTTATTTTATTAGAGTAGACAGTCTCCTGTAATTGAAGATAGAAGAAAATGGTTATTCACAACTTTGAAATGCTCTTAAGACAGAATATGAAGAAATTGGCAGAGGTGCAGGCACAGTCCAGGAACATGTTACCTGATGGCCACGAGGAGCATTGCAGTCATTGTGTCTCAGTCTCTTCTTTGTTCTCCCAGTTACTTGCAGCCAGGAGTATTTAGTACAGCATTTGACCTTATGGCATTTGGTCTATTAAGTCTCCTCAATATCCCTTTCCTCCAGCCTTCTGCCCTGCACTCCACCCCTCTTCAGACTCCCAGTATCCCTTTCTGGCAGGGCTGGGCTCCCCTGTTCCTCCAAGGAGAGATCTGAAGGTCTTTTCCAACCCCAGCCTCGCTGAGGAGTCTCTCCCCTCAGGGCTTTTCTAGTCCTCAGCCAGAGCTCAGAATTCTTCCCCACTTGGTCCAGGGGATACACAGCATTCCCTTTCTATGGGACTGTGCTGGCCTTCGGGGCACACTTCCTCAGCTGCCAGTTTCTGTATTCTTCTGCCTGTGTACCATCACCTGTCCAGTAAGACTTGCTCCCAGCTCTTTTCCTGGCTCTGGCTCAACCAGTGACCCTGGCCTTCTAGCACTGCCTGAAGTAGTACTGGGCTCTGGTGCTTTCCCAAATTGATCTTTCCTGGAGTACCTTGTTTTTACATGAACTATACCTGGACTCTGGGTCAACTGGCTGGCTGAAACTCTTGCGGGGCACAGGCTACCCTGTTATAGTGAAGAATCTGTATTTCCCTGCTTTTGTGAAGCATCTACAGTGTGATGGACACTTGCACTAATATAGAAAATCTGAATTGCCTATTCCTGCTGAAATGCCTTTGCCTAATCTATTTGTGGGGAGGTTATTAACTACAAATACTAGGTAGAAATAAGTAATCCATGAAGATCCCTGCAAGAAAAGAAAGTGATGTCTCATGCTCACCAACGCTGATTTTTCTTTTATCACAGCAAGTGTAGCATTGTGTGAGAGGCAGACCTTCACACTGTTCTTCCAGTCTTGGATTTCACTGGAAAAATAATAACACTGATTTCTGTACCACATCCAGTCTTCTGGGCAGGGACTGCACTCCCCTGCCAAAGCAGTGGCGTCACTGTTCACAGTCTCTGTGACAGGTCCTAAGAAGCGGAAGGTAATCAGCAGTGAATTTTATTCACATATCTCAAACATCTAAATAGCAATAAGTCAGTCAATAATCTAACAGCTGAAATTACATCTGGCCTTTGCATTTCTCTTTTGAAGATAGTCATTATTTTCCTAAAAGTTTTTAAATTTTTCTATTTGCCCAATATGTTTCCAGGTCAGGTCCATGTAGCCAATCTTTATTTTGGGGTGTGAGAAGGTCCCCAGTTTTAGCAGAGTTAACTCATGCGTTTGAGGGATATAAAAGTACACAGGCTGTATTGTAGAGAAGCTTTTAGTAACTTATTTTGCACTGGTGTAAGAAACAGGGTAGATAGGTGAATCTGACCAAAAAGCATTCCTTAAATAGGTAACGTGCCTTCCAGTCTATTTGTAATGATCTATTTTGATTAGCTTGGGCAGAAGTCTTTCAAAACTGCCCATTCTGCAGAGGTAATAAATTTGGTACAGGTTGCAACACATAAGAAGTGCATTTAGTACTGATCTAGAGTTCATAACAGCTATAAATGTGGTCACCCACCATGGGTCAGGAACCCAGCCATGGGCAATGTGAGGTTTAGGCACATCTCCCTTCCACATAATACTCTGTAGCAAGCAGAAGAATTGCCTGCCTGCCTGGAAAGTAGCATTAGGCAATTATGCGTGTGCTTTTAGTGGGCTCTCAAGCTATGCAAGAATTGGAATTAGGAGACCTAACACCACCTCTCCACCAGCCACAATCTAAAAAGCTACATGGGTAAATTCAGAGATAAAAATATCATTCCATAAAATGGAACAAGAACATCTGGAATAACTTTGCATTTATCCAAGTTCTCCTGTGTTGTTTCTTGGACAAATTTATGAATCAAAAATGAAGTAGCAAGTGTTATGAGGCAGTGGTTCTCCACCTAATTGCCAGTGGCCACACGTGCGACTCTTAATGTGTTACATGGGCTGCACCCACACAACTTACTGCCTGTGCATCCATTTAAAAATGTTCTAAGAGCGTGTCTCACAGCCTGATGGTGCCACAGGTGGAGAACCACTGGCCTAGAGGTTAGGACTCTGGAGACCTAAAGTGTGGCATTCGGTTCTTTTCTGGACACCTAGACATAGTCCTCTTAATCCCCCAAATGCCAGCTATGTACAAGTTGGCACTCTGCTCCTGCATGCATAGCCCTACACACGTGACCAGCTAGATACATGCCCAAAAACAGAATGCCAGCCTGGATATAAGTGGCATTTGGGGAACTTAAGGTGACCAAACCTGGCTGTCAAGAGGCCAGAAAAGAAAAGAATACATTAGTATGCAGATACCAGCACGGGTACATTTGGAGCACTCATTTACTCTGGAGGAAATTATTCTCCCCAGCAATGGGTGATGAGCAGGGATCCTGCTTTTGTCTGATAACCCCACCCCCACATCTTTTGAGATATAAAATAAGTCAAAATACACACACACACACACACACACACACAGAGTATTTCATTTTAATCATGGTGGATGGGGGGTGAGTGGGGTGGGGGGGGGGGGGGGGGGGGTTATAGCCAAAACTTTGGTGGGGGGTTTTTTTGTTTTTTTTTAATTGGAGAAAACCAGGAGTTATGAAGCTATGATGTCAAAGTCTTAAAGATCTAAATCAGCGGCCCTCAACCTTGTTAGATTCAACACACCCCTAGTTAAGATGCAAGGCACTCCCAGAAAATACCAGCTTTTAACTTTCACTTGTTTCTCGACTCTGGAAAAAAACAATAGAGCAATTTTTCTGCAGCAAAGAATTCAGAAAGACCACAGTGACAGCACAAATAAATAATCACAATGTTTCTGGGGTCAGCGCCTCAGAGCTGTAAGAAGGGATGTGTTGTATTTTGCTTTGACACCAGGGATTCCTCTTTGAAATCTCTGGATTTATCTTTCGAATCATGTGCAGGTGTTTGTGGTGATATTGTGCAGCACCCATGAAAGCATGTCATGGCAGCCCAGAGTGCGGCATCACCTGGTTGAGAAGTACCAACCTCATCTCATTGATTTAAAAACCTCAGGGACCTGTTAAGTGTTAACCTAAATGAACATATAGCTTAGCAGCAAGGCAGAGCGTATCCTGGCTGTCGCCGTTTGGATTTGGCAGCATGAGAAACGCACCGTGGTGACTCTTACGAAGCGCAGGGTGCAGCATGGGTCCCAGGGCTCAGCTTTCCTGATATTCAAGCAAGCCTGGAAGAAGTGAAACAGCTGTGCCCAAGGCTGCCTCCTCCACTACAGAGTGGCTGGGAATAAATATTGGCTTTAAAAAACAGGAAAGCTGATTTTCTGGAACAGTTACATGGTGGCAAATACACATTTGCTGCCTTGTCATTCCATAGTGGCACCAAGTATGACTATGGGTGCACACCTACAAAGGTTGCAGCTGTCCCCATGAAGGGGCTGGAGCCCAGGCCCTGGAGTGCTGCAGCCACTGGGGTCTGAGGGGCTCGGGAAGAGGTTCCCACTTGCATTTACCTTAGCGCCAGCCCCAGCGCCAGAGCTCTCCACAGCCAGAGGCTGGAGCACGGACCTGAAACGGACCAGAGCAGGGGGTTAGCGGGATGTGGCCGGCAGGGATCACGCAGCGCCAGGGACGGCGGTGCTGGGGCAGCAGGGGAAGCCGCGAGGGCACCCCTTCCCCTGTCCTCCCCACCCGTCCCTGGAGCCCCGGCCGGGAGAAGGCGCCGCTCACCGCTTCGGGACGCTCCTCGCCCGCGGGGTTCCGGCAACAGCTCACAGCTCTGCAGCGCTCGCGCGTCCCCCACGGCCCAGCTGTACGACAGACGGCTTGTTTCGCAGATTCGGACCTCGCCCTCCCCGTCCAAACCCCGCGATTGGCCCGTATCCCGGCTCCGCTGCTTCCGGGGGAGGAGCCGGGGCTGTGGTTTGGCGGGAGGTAGAAATGGTGGGTCAAGGGGGGCCTGTCTGTGGGCCCGGCGGGCGCG